TTGTAATAGTGAAAGGGTAGTTTATTTTTTTTTTTTTGATTTATCAAAAAAAAAACAAATCGAGATTATGGATTTGGTTCCTTCGGATTAAAGAGGATTCGAACCTCTGTTATGTCTCCATAAAGTGAATTTCAAGTTCACCGCAATCGACCACTCTGCCATTAATCCTTTACCCTTTCTATATTGGTTAAAAGATAATTTAACGTAGAAAGGGCATGTTTATCAACATAAGCCGTTGAGCAGAAAGAGACTCGAACTCCTAATGCGCGAGGGCCACTAATTTACAGTCAGCTTCCTTAACCAATTTGGATATCTGCTCCTTTTTCCCCCTTTCCCCACCTACGGTGGGGAACAAGGGGGAAAACGGCAATACAATAGAAACCACCCCAAAGGAGTTTCGAACTTCTGTCTCGGAATTTTCAGTTCCGCGCTCTGACCCATTGAGCTATCGGGGTTTTGTAGCTGTTCTTAGCCGAATATTACGCCACTATCCATCCACCTCCCGCGGAGGTGGATGGAGGGAAATGGAGAAATCGAGAATCGAACTCGAGCTTCTGTGGTGCAAACACAGTATACTACCGTTATATTATTTCCCCTATATCTGTGTTTTAACACACGCCAAAGGGCGTGCGTGTTTAAATCGTAGCTAGGACTACTACAACCATTATGTTACTCTTTTACCTCATTTACACTCGGGGCATTAATCTGTGGAAGACAGTCCTCTTCCCCCCTCCGGGGGGAAAAAGTAAAAGAAATGGTAGACATGTATTGTTAGGATAGATCAAAAGCGCTCAAGAAATAACCTTTCTCACTACCCTTTTTCCCCCCCCTTTGGGGAAAAGTAAGTGCTATGACACACCTAAAATAACTACTAAAAGAGTGTGCAAAAAGCACTCTCACTTTTTTGGAGATATCTGAAAGAGTGTTTTTAATAATCATGATTTCTAATAGGTTCTATTATTTGTTATGTAAGGTTTCTTATCCGTAGTTTATCTATATAAGAACATATAAGGTCACGTCTTTTTAAATTTAAACAATGTTAACAGCACTATTACTAATTCCACTAGTTGGATCATTCGCTCTTCTTCCAATCACAGAAGGAACAGCGGAAAATAATTCTCTAATGAAACGAATTGCTCTAATTACATCAGTAATTAACTTCGTTCTATCAATTGTAATGTGGGGAGAATTCGACAGTAGCGCAACACAATACCAATTTGTACAAGAGTTTAACAACCTAAGCTTCTGTCATCTACACATTGGTATCGACGGTATTTCACTATACTTCGTGCTACTTACAACTTTCATTACACCTATCTGTATTCTCAGCAACTGGGATAGCATCAAATCTGGAGTCAAATCATTCCTAATTGCTTTCCTACTTCTAGAAACACTACTTATTGCAGTATTCGTAGTTCTAGATCTAATGCTATTCTACATTTTCTTCGAAAGTGTACTAATTCCTCTATTCTTAGTAGTTGGTATTTGGGGAGGTAGCGAAGCACGAGTACGTGCCTCATTCCTACTGTTCCTGTACACTCTAGCCGGATCACTATTCATGCTTCTAGCAATTATGGTAATCTACTACAACATCGGATCAACAGATTTCACAATGATTTCACTGTCAGACATTAGTCTAGACGGACAAAAACTACTATGGTTAGCATTCTTCCTAAGTATGGCGGTTAAAACACCTCTAGCTCCATTCCACATGTGGCTACCACGGGCCCACGCAGAAGCGCCTTTAGCGGGATCTATCTTACTGGCCGGTCTGATTTTAAAATTAGCCACTTACGGTTACCTACGAATCCTAATTAATTTCATGCCAGATGCTACATCTTACTTCTCACCACTAGTTCAAACAATTGCCGTTGTAACATTAATCTATTCATCACTTGCAACAGTACGGCAAACCGACTTTAAAGCCCTAGTAGCATACTCCTCAATCGGTCACATGGCAGTAGTTGTACTTGGTCTATTCTCTAACACAATCATCGGTATTGAAGGAGCTATCGCTCTTTCAGTAGCTCACGGAGTTATTTCACCAGCAATGTTCATTCTTGTTGGAGGAGTGCTATACGATCGATTCCACACACGGGTTATTCGATACTACCGAGGAGTAACTGTTTACATGCCAGTATTCTCAGCTCTATTCTTCATTACAACAGCATTCAACATGGCGGTCCCTCTAAGCCTGAACTGGATCGGAGAGTTCATGAGTCTAGCAGGAATCTTCCAACGAAGCCCTCTAGCTGGTCTACTAGGTGCCTCATCTATCGTACTATCTGCTTGTTACAGTATCTACCTATACAACCGGATCAGTTACGGAGCATACTCACGATATCTATCATTCACTACAGACATCAGCCGTCGAGAATTCATGTTAATGGTTCCTCTACTACTGGTTGCTCTAGTGTTTGGTATTATTCCTAACATCATTCTAGGAGATATTCATGTAGCAGTAACACAACTTCTATATGCCTAATCTTTATTAACCCCCCCCCCCCTTTTCACCGTTCGGTGAAAAGGTATGTTGCTTATGCTGGACATGTATACATAGACACCTCATCTCCTTTCTACGTGTCACGTACTAGTATAATAGCATAATATACTACGCCTAAATCCGGTCCTGTTTTCTAAAATGAATCGGATGTAGAAGCTTGCAAATATTAATTAATGTAGTTACCACATATGTGTGTATCGCACACAGGTTTGGCTAGGGCATTCCACAATGTTTCAATGCTTTAACTAAAAGTGAGTTATATACATTGTACACCACCCATCTTTTTTCTTTGAAAAAAGAAGGTGGAGGATGGTGATGTCGTAAACATCATATGTAAATTCTGGGTTAGATGGATTCGAACCAACATAGGACGCCACCAAAAAGCGTTGGGTTGCCAATTACCCTATAACCCATTACACCCACATTGTGTTAGAGTATCTACTACTTTTCCTCCTTTCTTTTTTTTACAAAAAAGATAATTGCTGGAGGAAGAAGGGGGATTAGTAAGGCATGATATCGAAAGCGATAAGAATACTTGGAACAAGGATTACGAGCGCAATTGCGACAGGTAACAGTCCAGTCCAGCAGAACAGCATTAGTCCGTCGTACCGCATCCGTGGCAGAGTTGCACGGAACCATACGAATAGGAAACAGAATAGACATGTTTTCAGTCCTAGTACAATACTTTGTAAGTTTACGAAAGTATCGTTCACAAATAGTTCTGGCATGTTGTATCCTCCTAAGAATAGGATTGCTGTAAGTGTAGACATTAGAACAATTGAACAGTATTCTCCTAGGAAGAAGAATACGAAAATCATACCACTGTGTTCTGTGAAGAATCCAGCCACCAGTTCCGACTCGGCCTCTGGGAGATCGAATGGAGTTCGATTTGTTTCTGCTAAAGCAGAAATGAAGAAAATGATGAACATTGGTAGAAGTGGAACAATGAACCAAACTGATTGTTGTGATTCAATGATTGTTGTAATGTTGAATGATCCTGTTAGTAGAATAACTACTAGGATTGCTGAAGATAGTACCAGTTCGTAACTAATCATTTGTGCGGTTGATCGCAGAGATCCTAAGAACGCGTATTTAGAGTTGGCACTCCATCCTGCGAATAGAACTCCGTAAACTCCAACAGATGAAATGGCTAATGTGTAAAGAATTCCCAGTGAGAAATCTGTGATTGTTAGACCAGCTCCGAAAGGAATTACGGCCCAACCTAGAAGACTGAAGATTAGAGTAATTACCGGCGCTAGGAAGAATAGACTTCGAGTTGAATGAGCGGGAACTACTGTTTCTTTAACAACTAGTTTCAGGGCGTCGGCGAACGGTTGGAGAACTCCGTAGTATCCTACTTTGTTAGGCCCGACACGTCGTTGCATTGCTGCAAGTGTTTTCCGTTCGATAATTGTCATGAAGGCAACCGCTAATAGAATAGGAACAAGAACGATAACTACCTCTAGTAGGTTGTATAAAATTGTTAGCATTTGTTTATTTAAGTGACTTAATCCCTTTACATAATCGTCTTGCCCCCTCCGGGGGCACAGGTAGACAGGTGGTAAATGGAAAGTAATAACTCGTTGTAGATCTACAACAAGGGAAATTGATGCACCTAGACCGAAAAAAAATTGAAAATTTTTTTCGGGTCTAGGCTAAGTTAAGGTCATTATGATTGTGAGTCTAGCCATGAAAGGTATTTTTCAAGTGAGACCGCTTCAACGCAGATTGGCATGAAACCGTGGTACACTCCACATAACTCTGAACATTGTCCGTAGTATGTTCCCTCTCGTTGTACCAGAACTGAAGTTTGGTTTAGCCGACCAGGTGTACAATCGATTTTCAGTCCTAGAGCAGGAACTGCGAAGTCATGGATAACATCCGCTCCTGTAACTACGAATCGAATGTGTGTATCTACTGGAACAACAACTCGGTTATCTACATCAAGTAGTCGAAGTTGTCCGTCTTCTAGATCAGTTTCTGGCACCATGTATGAGTCGAACTCGATGCTGTCCCCATCTTCGTTAACGAAGTCGCTATATTGGTAAGTCCAGTACCATTGGTGACCTACAACTTTAATTGTCATAGCTGGAGAGAATACTTCATCCATTAAGTACAGTAGTTTGAATGAAGGGAATGCAATTGCAATAAGAATGAACGCTGGAGAAATTGTCCAGATTAGTTCGATTAGTGTCAATAAATGTTACCCTTTCCTTAAAACAAAGTTTTTAAGGACCAACAAGATTAAGGGGCAAAAGGTATTTACCTTTCAAATGGTTTTCACCATTCTTTAGACTATTTCATCTCTATTCATCATAAACCTCACCATAGCCCTTTTCCTGGAGGAAAACAATGGTGAGGGCCGCAAAAGCGACCTTATCTGAATAAGTAGGTATTCTTGGAAAGTAGCTTTCTAGTCGTTAGACCGAAAACTGTAGTTTTCGGTTACAAATTCTCATCTTTTTCTAGAAAGAAGATTTCTTGTATTATTCCTATTTACCTCATTCTACTGCTTTACTTTTTGTTTCCCGGAAATCAAAGAAAGATAGAATAAAAGGACGGCACACTATTAAAAACCGTGGTTTGCGTATTTGTATACGATTGGTGAAGAGTTAGCGTGGAAGTTTACCATTACTGATCCCATCATCCATACTACCCCGATTAGAATAACTACTAGGTAGAAGAAGATTGAGCTGTGCAGTTCTGTGATCCCTTCGAACGCTGGTGATGCACCATCTTGGAATCCAATTTGCCAAGGTTCTGGAGCATCGTTTAGCACTGGGCTAAGAAGTGAAAATAAGTTGATCATTTTTTATTAATATTTTTAACATGTTTCTATTTCATACCACATATTAGCAATCATCTTGCCCATCTATCCTATGAGTTCCCATTGTTTACTACGATCACCTATCTCTTTTTTGAGAAACGAGAAGGTGGTAAAAGAATGTGTGGAAAGGAAATGTTGGTATGATAACAAAAAGACCGGGATTTAAGGAATAAAGGAATCGAACCTCTGTCAATGCCGTGTAAAAGCAGTGTTTTACCATTAAACTAATTCCCCTACATATATACGGTAAGCGCCCTAAAGGAGTCGAACCCTTATTTGAACGTTCCGAAGACGTTTGCATTGCCATTATGCTAAAGACGCTAGATAGTGGCCTATTCTTCTTCTTTTTATAAAAAGATGAGGTCTCAATAAAGTATCTTCAAAATTACAAGTCTACTTTTAGTTGAAGTTCCCCACGCCTACTAGCCATAGCCCTCCACCCTCCTATATTTTTCTTTTAGAAAAATAAAGATGGAGGTGGTCTAACGGACCATCGTTGTTTTGTCATTTTTTTTGAATTAATTCAAAAAAAAAAAAATAGGACGCATAGAGACTCGAACTCTACACTTCAGATTTGCAATCCAAATTCAACACCTGTTGTGTGTCCGCTTATCCTCTCACTGCTATTTATAAATAACATTGGTAAGGGGGGGGGGATTTATGATGTAGCTTCAGGAGCTCGGATGGCAGATCGTTGATCAGTAAAGTAGAGTGCACCTTTACCGAATTCATATACGAATCCCACGGTAAGTACTACGAAGAAAATTACTGCAACAGTGAACCCGTAACCGGATACTTGATATAGTGTCACTGCAAGAGGGTAGAAGAGTAAGATTTCCAGGTCAAAGATCAGGAAGAGGATACCTACAAGGTAGTATTGAATTGAGAATGGAGCACGTGTTTGTCCATAGACAGGTGAGAACCCACATTCGTAGGGTGTTACTTTTTCTGTGTCTGGTTTGTGAACGGCTAATAGCACGTTAAGCATAAGTAAAATACCAGTTAATACTGGTACGAAAACGAATAAGATTTGTAGTGATGACATTATGCGTTGAACATTGACAGAGCCAGAAGGTGTGTGCTATTTAAGATGAATGATGGTTTGAACACGAATAGTGCAATTGCCAGAGTTAATGTTGCGATAGCAAAGCTATGCACGTTTGTTACAGATGTTGTAGTTACTGTTGTACTTTGTTCTTGGTCTGCTGCTGATGTATCGAAGTGGATTACTCGTACAATTCGCAGATAATATGCGGCACTGATAACACTTACTACAATTGCCACTAATGACATGAAGTAGTAACCGCTGTGAGTTGCTGAATATAGGACCATTTGTTTTGCGAAGAATCCCATTAGAGGTGGAATTCCTGCCATTGAGAACAGACAAGTTGCTAATGCCAGACCTAATAAAGGGTTTGATCGGAATTGACCTTTAAGTTCTGAAATGAATTCGATATCGGTACCTGTTGACACTTTTGAACTTGAGCCAGCTGTTTTGATAATGTAACCAAAGGCTAGTAATACAAGGAAAGCGTTAAGGTTTGTTAGTGAATATTGCACTAGGTAGAACAGGAATGATTCGATTGATTCTTCACTGTTAATAGCTAGAGCTAATAGTAGGAAACCGACGTGTGAAATTGTACTATACGCAAACAGTCGTTTGATTCGGAATTGTGCTAGACCTACTACTGTACCAATGATTAGTGACAGTAATGATGATACTAGAAGAAGGTTTTTCCATACACTAAATCCTGTACCATCCGCAAGGAATGCGAAAGGTAGTGATAGTGTAACACCTGATAGACCAGTTTGTAATAGTAGTAAGAACACTAGAATTGAGATTTTAGGCATAATTGTTAGCCAAGTTGTTACGATAGTTGGTGTTCCGTCATATACATCAGGAGCCCAGTTATGGAACGGAGCTGCGGCGATTTTGAATAGGAAACCTACAACTGTGATTGTTAATCCAATTGTAACCGGTCCAGTAATGTAATCATCAGTTGTTACTGATAGAAGACTGAAGATTCCTTCAAAGTTTGTTAGACCTGTGTATGCATATACAAGTGCTGATCCCAGAAGAATTAGTCCTGATGATAGACCTCCTAGTAGGAAGTATTTCAGTCCAGCTGAAGTAGCTGATTCTGAGTCTCGGTAAAGAGCAGCAAGAATATAAACAGCGAACGATTGTAGTTCAATGGCTAAGTACATAGATACAAGATCTGCACTAGATACGAGGAAAGTTGCACCACATGTAGTGAACAGAATAATCAGTGAATATTCTGGTACACTTGGTACAGCTGTTGAGTATGCTGTTGATCGTGTTAGTCCTAGTTTAGCCGGAGCCCAAGGTAGGATAACGAATGCAGCAATTGTGTAAATAAAACAGTCAATTACTTGTGTAATTGCTGTTACCTGGAATAGACCACTATAAATACCTACACCTGACCCAATAGCTTGGATATAACTGGCATTAAATGATAATGCAGCGGCATAGAGTAGAATAATAGAGGTTACCCGAATTAATAGAAGTGGAGAGATTTTTACGGTTGGTAGCGCTACGGCCATCATTAGTGAGAAGATTCCTAATACAAGCATTGCCATTTATTATTTTTTTGTGCCCCCTTATTTTCCACCAATCTTGTTTCCTCCCCATTGGGGAGGAAAGGAGACAAGTGAAGGAAGGAGCATGGATTAGATACGAATGAAGAGACTCGAACTCTTAAGTACTTAGTACACTTCGACTTAAATGAAGCTCGGCTACCATTTCGACACACTCGCATAGCCATATCATATAATCCGTTAACCCTCTTGACTACCAACGCTGACCGATCATGATCGGTCAGCGGTCATTAAATGAGTCCGATTTCTCGAATACTCACGATTATTGGCATATAAAAAGCGGTGCAGGTTTATAGTAGTTTAATGTTCTCTTTTACTCCTTAAACTATAGCACTTAAATGGCATTCTGAGAAGTCCTAGATACACTATAATGGAGCATAGCTCCGGTGTTACTACTTCCCTCTTCCCCATCTTTTTTTGAAAAAAAAAGAAAGACAAGTAAATCCCTACATTTTCGTCTAGACAAATTGGGGAAGGGGGTGGATTACTTTACCCCATTTAGTCCTGATATGTCAGTGTTTTTTGTTAAAAGGTGGTAAAGTAAGACGGGGGATGGGGTCATTACATTAAATAAGCATCTCAAGCTCACACCATTTAACTTTATATGTAGGACATCATGTGTTTCTATGGATTTGTTCTCTGACGACATTCCTGAGGAAAAATAGCAGGAGAATTACTTGTTTGCTCTCCTTATAATCGACCCCCCCATAATCCCCCCAATCCTGGGGGGGGAGGTCGAAATACTAGGATAATACAGGTTTATAGGTGATGTTTACTTATACTACAATCTGATTAAATTTATCTCACTTTTATTTAGTATGTAATATACGGTAACAGATAGAGGCAGTCACCTTAGCCCTATAAGGCTTATTTTTTTCTCTGCTATCACCTCTTTTAGTTGATTTTGGATATGCATACTGTCACTGTACGTATGGTAAAGTACAATTTAAAAAAAACCGCCACTTTTGTTCAGATGTCTGCTGTGAGAGGATGAAGACATTCCTCCGGCTGAGGCCTAATAGTCTAACAAAGTTATTGCAGAAGCTACTATAGTAATCTCCTAAACCACTTGCCGTTACCTGAACTGCGACCCTAGTGAAAAATCGAAGATTTTTAAAGTATTGCAAGAAAAAGGATATTCGGAATCCGAATATCTGACGACTATAGTTAGACGTAGAAAAATCAAAGATTTTCTATGCCTAAGAAGTTTCGGTAATATAATAACTAAAAGTAGATGATAACTTTGTTTTTCTTCTTTCCCCCAGCTACGCTGGGGGACTAGAAAAACGGGTTATGTTTAAAACCAGGTAGTGTTTCCTTTTCGCTATTTACTATTTACTAGTGGATAGTGGATCGGGTTATAATGCTAGAAACTATATGTTGCCTTTTTCCAAAAGCTAAAGGCAATTAACCCTCTGCAGTTTTTCCTTTCTTTTTTTTATAAAAAAAAAGATGAAAAGGTGGAGGGAGATAAAAAGAAACAAAAATTCAAATAAAATATGACACGTTGGTTACTATCAACAAACGCTAAAGACATTGGAACACTTTATCTAATCTATGCGATCTTCGCTGGATTAGCTGGAACAGCTTTCTCTGTACTTATTCGATTAGAATTATCAGCTCCAGGAAGTCAATTCCTTGCGGGAGATCACCAACTGTACAACGTTATCCTTACAGCCCATGGTCTAGTTATGGTATTCTTTGCCGTAATGCCAGCCATGGGAGGTTTCGGTAACTATATGGTTCCGGTACTTATCGGAGCTCCAGATATGGCCTTCCCTCGACTAAACAACATTTCATTCTGGCTGTTAATTCCATCAATTACACTACTATTAGCTAGCGCTTTCGTAGAACAAGGTGCCGGTGTAGGATGGACTGTATATCCTCCTCTATCAGGTGTTCAAGCTCACTCAGGTGGTTCAGTAGATCTAGCGATCTTCGCGCTTCACCTATCAGGGATCAGTTCAATGTTAGGAGCCATGAACATTCTAACAACTATCCTGAACATGCGAGCCCCAGGTATGACACTACACAAAATGCCACTATTCGTTTGGGCAATGCTAATGCAATCAGTAATTATCATCCTAGCCGTTCCAGTACTTGCTGGTGGGCTTACAATGCTACTAACTGACCGGAACTTCAACACTTCATTCTTCGACGCCGCAGGTGGAGGAGATCCAGTGCTATATCAACACATCTTCTGGTTCTTCGGACACCCAGAAGTTTACCTAATGATTGTTCCTGGATTCGGTATTATTAGTCACGTAATCTCAGCTTTCTCAGGAAAACCTGTATTCGGTTACCTAGGTATGGTTTACGCTATTGCATCAATTGCTATCCTTGGATTCATTGTGTGGTCTCACCACATGTATGCAGTAGGACTAGACGTAGATACTCGAGCTTACTTCACAGCCGCATCAATGATTATTGCAGTTCCAACCGGAATTAAAGTATTCTCATGGATTGCAACATGTTACGGAGGTGCTGTACGATACACAACACCTATGCTATTCGCCCTAGGATTCGTCCTTCTATTCACAATTGGAGGGCTAACTGGAGTAGTTCTTGCGAACGCTTCAATGGACGTGGCTATGCATGACACCTACTACGTAGTTGCACACTTCCACTACGTGCTATCAATGGGTGCTGTATTCTCAATCTTCGCCGGATTCTACTACTGGGCTCCAAAAATCTTCGGTAAA